GAGGCTCTGTCTCAAAAAAAAAAAAAAAGAATATAAAATATAGAAAAGTAGTAATGAAAAAGAAAAGGGAAAGGGGGATAAAAGTAAAGATTGACAAAAAGAAGTGAAGAACAGAGAGAGACAGGATTAATATTGGTGTTCAGCAGGGCACTTTGACCCACAATTCCCCACCTCTAGGGAGCTGGGATGGGTGGGTCCCTCAAAGTCAGGAGCTTCTTGCTATCCTGATCAAAAATAAGACCCTACCTCCATCAAATAGAGATTAAAACACACACACACACACATACACAACAGCAGTATGTCCCAGTGGGTACCAATAGAATCCTTACACAGTCCAAATCTAGAAGGACCCTTTAGATCAAGGGATCAAAATCTCTTTGAGCCAAGCCAATGCTGTGGCACCCCAGCCCATGCCCTGGAGTGAGACTCTATCCCATAAATGGAATACTGATTGACAAAGAATAAAACAGGTAGAATAAAAGATAAAAATAATCAACACATTAAATCTCACAAAGGCATAAATGTACCCATGATCTATGTATATATGAGTTAATTAAAAAAAGAAAATGAAAATAAAATTGTATATGATATAAAGAAAGATGGTATATCTTAGTTGTTATTTGAGAAATTTTTGTGGGAAAGATAAGTAGAAAAATCTTTATAAAATGAGAGAGAAAAGGAAAGAAATGGAATAAAAAGAATAAAAGGGGTAGAAAAACTGTAGGAAAAATAGAGCCCTCATTATTGAAGAAAGTAAAAATGAAAAAATAAAAATAAAACAAAACAAGGTAAATAAATAAAAAACCTTATAGAAAAAATTGTGAAGAAAATATAAGGACCAGAAAAACTGCAGCACAAAATGGAACTCTTACTATTAAAGAAAGAAACAATGAAAAATTTTAAATACAGGAAAAAAAGGGGAAAACCTAGGGAAAAAAATCTGAAAATAAAAAGAAAAAATAATATATTGCCAGGTATTGCTTGGACAGTAGGTGATATTCTGGGGTACGAGATGCTAATCACAATGCTGATCAGCTGAATAGGAGGGGGTCTGGAAGTCACTATCTTACTGTGGAGACCTGGTCTCATCTTCCTGATTTC